GGGCACTCAATATTTATGTATGCAAATAACATAGCATATAGGTCAAAGTTCAGTTGTATTAAATTCTTTAAAACCATGTCAGTTGGCAAAATTAACTTAATACGATCTGAGATTCTTCCTGTATCTGAGATGGTGACTGTGGTAAATTCCTTATGGGAGATTCCTGAGCTGGTGACATGCTCTCTGACTCTTAATGTAGTAGCATCTGAAATCGATATTTAAACACTAAATATATTTCAGTTGTTGTAATTAGATTGTCCAGTAATATGTCCTGTATCCCTGAAGTACTGGTCAGTATGCAGTAATTTTGAAAGTACATATTTATGATTTTTTTAACAGCATGTGTGTGTCCTGCATATACATGTACTTGAAATGTTACTTTGATTTGCAGCCAATCTAATTTCACTGATACAGAATATTTGCAAATAAAATTCCCTTGCAATCATGACAAGAGTGTCTCCATATGTCCATATGCTTTAAAAAAAATAATATAATGGACCGTTCATAATTTATGACTAGGGGGGTGATGATGATTTTAGGTGCGGTGTTTGTGGGGGTTGGGGAGTCTCCCAGTTTGTTTTGGGAGGCAGGGGGAGGGGTCAATTGTGAACATATGAACTAGGGGGGTGGTCACTGATTTTGAACATGACAATGTGTGTGTGTGTGGTGTGTTTGAGTGTGTTTGAGTGTGTTTGAGTGTGTTTGAGTGTGTGTGTGTGTGTGTGTGTGTGTGTGTGTGTGTGTGTGTGTGTGTGTGTGTGTGTGTGTGTGTGTGTGTGTGTGTGTGTGTGTGTGTGTGAGTGACATTCACATTGTACATGTGCCCCTAATATTAAAACATTGCATAGTGAACAGTTTGTACATTTCATTGTAGATCTAGACTATGCCATGTGCCGTAATTATTTTGTACTTACTATGAATCATTTTCCAGGATCTCTCCGTATTTTCGTACACCACTGCCTTCTTATTATCTTATTCTTGGGAATATGGTGAAAAGATACCGTAAAATCCTTACGGGCATCACTCCAACGCAAAGGCACACAGCAGTAATCTTTCCTTTTCGAGGTCGCCATTTTCAAAGTTAGGTCAACCTATTTAAGCCTCGCTTTCGATTTGACCTTGAGGTCATGCATATTGGCTAAGAATGGTCTATTCTCGCACAACGTTCACTTTTCAAACCGTATGAAAATGTGCGCCTGAAAATAAACTCGGCATCAAGGGGGTTAACCACTAGGTTACCCAACCGCCCCCCGTTGGACGTAACGGACGCCAAATCAGCGCCATGACAGTCATTCGATGTCTGCGGGCTGTAGGACTAAGGTGCCTGAGGCCATATCGGGAATTATAGCTAAAACACATGGAATTATCATGAAATGGCCCTCCTATTATCAGAAATTTGCGGGCCGCTGCAAATGATATTGGACTGCTCAACCTTAACGACGGGCCACTATCAGTTCTGTTGTCGAGTGACGTCATAGTGGGTGCGTGGGCAGACAATGCCAAAAGGCTGACAACACAAGATAGCGTCTGATTCACACTCCGGCACAGCGGTGACTTAACATAACATCACTGCCACAGGCTAATTTGCATATCACGTGACCGGACTTTTCTCTTGTTTGTAATCAAACGCGAGAAAATTCATAATAAGAAGAGACTGGACTCACGAAAGCTTTTCGGCGCTCTCTTCATAGTGTTTTACATTGTTACATATACATGTATAGAGAATACTACACGAGGTCTCATTACATACGAATTATACGAAACGAGTGTCCTTCCTATGGTATCTGACCGAGCGAAAGCGAAAGCGAGGTCAGATAACATAGGAAGGTCACGAGTTTCGTATAATTCGATGTAATGAGACCGAGTGTGGTATTTTATTTATTACCCACGTCTTACATGCATTAAATTGACGAAATAGCGTATTTTTGTTATGTTTTTTGGTTTCAAACCGAAACCGGTTTCATAAAGAGGTTGCGGAAGAGTTTGTACTGTAGTACAATATTTGCATGACGTCACACTGTAATGACGTCACTGCCTTGGTAACCGACGTCACGATGCATGTCAGTCATCGCTTCGTACAGCCTTCTACAGTAAACTACTCCGTAGCACCTCGTTTCTTGGTTTCCAGTTGCTTCATTCGGCTAACATCACTGGTGGAAACATTGCGTTTATGTTTTTCGACGGATATAATGTCTCAGTTCGACTCACAATTAAACACCGACACGGCAACGTTCGCAATGTTTACATTCCCACAATGCATTTAAGTTGTAGAATGAATGAATTCACGTGTTTGTTATGAATGAAAAAAATAGTTACGTCAGAATATGACCTAATTGAGAGGTCATCGGTTATCCAATCAAATCGTTAGAATCTCAGGTCAAGTCGTTACGACACAGGTCAACGCGATACGACACTCGTGTGACGTACGAGATTAGTATGCAACTACCCATACGCTGACCTCGTGGGTAATAAATATTCTTCCACAACGGCGACAGTAAGGTCTATGACAGTACATAAGTTGATATCAAACTGGCTGCATCGTTTGCTCTCCATCAGCTTCGATGACAGCACGTGGAGCCGTACAACTTATGTAAACAAAGGATCGCTACGCAAATCGAAATAGTGTTACATGTTTTAGGATATTTTCTCAATGAAACTAAACCATTCTATCATAGATATTTAATTAGTTGTGTAGACTCGTCAAAAATAAAAGAGTTGAGAAATATGTAAATTATATTGAATGGACGGTGCAAGATGTGACAAATCGTCCCATTTTCCTGGCCTGTGGCAGAGGTACTATGCTGGCTTGCCGCATGGAACTCTGGGTAGGAGATTGCGTCTGATTGTGTTGGTAGGGCAGCGTCAGCTCGGGAGATTGAACGAGCGCTTCTTGAACCAACCGATTCTCTTTGGGTCGAAAAATCGGATATCAATGAAACTGACAGCGATTTTGATAAAGACGAACTTGATAAACTCCAAATGGAAGGGAAATCAGCAAATACTCAAAAACAAACTTGCTGGGGGACCAAGGCATTCACTGGTGAGATTTGACGCTAGGCCTTATTATGTAGCAATTTCGATATAGTAAATAATGAGCCAGAAACTAACACCGTCACGATTTTGTCTTACAATTTTTTAATTTTTTTTGTTTTTTAGACTGGGCATCTCGACGTAATATCAACAGCGAAAAGGAAGAACTGGCCTAAATATTAAGAAAATTCTATGCTGAGTACCGCACTAAGAAAGCTGAGCTTCCCACCCCTAGCACACTGAGATCACTGAGAGCTGCAGTTCATCGTACTCTAAAAGATCCACCTTTCTCGGGCAACATAAACATAATGGCTGATAAAGAGTTTACAAACGCAAACAGCATGTTCGAATCTCGTTGTAAAGCCTACTTTGTAGAGGGAGGAAGATCCCTACAACACAAACCTTGAATTGAGCGAGGAGATATGGACAAACTGTCAGGATATTTGGGGGATTTAGAGAGTACTGACCCAACCAGGCTTCAAGAAATGGTTTGGTTCAATCTGTGTTTCTTTCTGGGAAGACGGGGACGTGAGGGTTGGAGAAGTTTCACCAAATCGACACTTCAACTGAAGCGTGACGATAATGACAAACACTTTCTTACCTTCACTTCGGCTGAGAAAACAAAGAACTGGCAAGGCAGTAATCCCTCTAATCAGGACTGTTCAGATGTCAGAATATACGAGAATGAGTCATCCAAGGATCCAGTCAGTATTTATCTCTTCTATCTGTCAAAACTCCACCCAGTATGCGATGCTCTTTTCCAGGCTTCTCGGAAGGATTTCGAGAAATCAGGAGTTTGATACAATAATGCTCCTATGGGAAAGAACATATTGGGCACCATTATGCAGTAGATTCCAAAAAGGCTGGTTTATCACAGGTATACACTTGTCATTCAGTCAGAGCTTCCACCATCACATACATGTTTCAGGCAGGTGTAGACGTAAAACAAATCTGCAACATCACGAAGCACAAGTCCGAGGAATCACTCAAGCATTACATTTCAGGGTCCAGTAGCGCGCAAAAGAGAGCATCTAGTGAAATCCTCCAGCATGTGTTGTCACCCAAGATGCCAACAAACGCTTTAGAATATCCGAATAGGCCAACCTGCTCACGTGAACGCCGATTTTCTGTTCAAGAAAATGTTGAAATGACTTACGGTTCATTCGACATTGGCTTTGGACTGGCAGATATTCTGGGGCAAACAAGTCAAAGCAACCCGAATTCCCGCTTCAGCGGTAATATTGGCCTTCTTGCTAGTGCTAACCTTAACAATTGCACTATTAACGTTGTTGTTGGAACAAAACCGAACACTGAAAACTGACGTTGTTGCAGACATAATGGCGGCCATAGTTTGACATACTGCATGCCAAGGTCTTTGCAAAGGCCAAGGTCGAATATCGTCACGTTGTGTTGTGACGTCACTTGAATTGTTCGATGACGTAATGCATTGCGGGGTCAGTCAACCCACTTAGAAGTTGGTTTTGAGTAAACTTACAGCCAAATTCCTTCATTGTTTCCTGTTTCTTTTCAACACAAATTCCATGTATTTCAGCAATGTAATGCTATTTTTGAGGGTCTTCTGCAAATGATAATGCCCTCAAAAATAGCATTACCCTTATAACATCAACACGCAACGTCATCGAGCCAACAGTGAGTGAGTTAAAATTTTACATCGCGTCGGCAATATTACAGCCATATAGCGATGAAAACAAGGTAATCAATTTAAAATATCTGTAGACAAAGGACAGTAAAACCAACTGAACTATCACAGATATATACTTAAAACTGAAAATTAAATCTAAAATACTTTAACTATAGAGGACGATACAATATAAACACAGGCTATTGATCGCCAACAACTGATCGAGCCAACAGACTCCTGTTTGCACAGCAACATCGCCTCCAACCACCACGAATCTTCAACAAGAGGGTGTTTTCCGATGAGTCAAGGTTCTGTGTGTCATTTGCGGATGGAAGACAACGCGTCTACAGGCGGCGACATGAACGTCACCATGATGGTTGTGTTCTTGAGAGGAATCGCTTTGGTGGAGGAAGTGGGATGGTTTGGGCTGCAAATAATGCCAGATTTCCCAGTGATCTCATTCAGTAAGAACAACGTGCACCAGAGCTAACATAGCTAAGTGACCGCCTCCGTGGTGTAGTGGTTAGCGTCCGCCCGGAGAGCGGAAGGTCGCGGGTTCGATCCCTGACCGCGTCATACCAAAAGACGTTAAAATATGGTACTTGTTGGTCCCCTGCCTGGCGCTCGGAGTCAATATAATGTGTCTGAGTGGGGTATTCATGCTTCACTGCGGCATGGTATCTCAGTGGGCTAGCACTATAAAACCAGCTGGGGTAGTACATACGCCCGCATGCACGTCGTCATATGAGCGAAATATTCTCAAGCAGGACGTTAACCCCAATTTCACCTCACCTCACCTCACCTAGCTACGTATGTACCTAATCCAAGCCCTAACCATACCCGTTACCTCGATGAGGTGACCCGTGAAGATCCTGGTAAGAATTGATCTTCAGTAACCCGTGCTTGTCGTAAGAGGCGACTAACGGTATCCGGTGGTCAGACTCGCTGACACGTCATCGCGTAGGTCGATGCTCATGGTGTTGGTCACTGGATTGTCTAGTCCATACTGGAATATAGCTGAGTGCGGCGTTAAACAACCAACCAACGAAGGACGCCATTACACTGAATCCGATGTATTATTATCCCCAACGCCGAAACAAGTCCGTAAGTTAGCAAATATAGTATGTGTGCCCAGTTCGTTTTACTAAAGTTTATCTTACGGGGGTCCACCAATCTTCTACCCTCTGCTTCAAACACTGACGTGAACGTTTGCGACAGAACATATTCCAAAGATGACGTCCTGAGAGGTCCTGAGAGGTTGCTGGTATATTGTTATAAGCGGCGTAAAACGTAACTCACTTAATCAATCACATGGCACGTATCAATGGCCTTGCGAATATCGATATTAAGATTTTACACACGCTTCTTCCAATTTTGTTATGTTTTTCTCAAGTCCTGTTCAAGGGAAATAATTCGTTACGTTGATCACACGCGCGTATACTCGCTAGTTCACTCCACGCTTTCCGTTTTGAAATCTTTCATCAGACATCATGGCCGGAGTATTCAGAAAGTCATTGCTGTCATCGGCAAAACTGATCGGGCGTCAGCTCGTGACATCAAATGCAGCATGTGCATCGAGGACGTCTTTGCCTGTCACGCTGTCGTCTCCGAGTCTGAGGAATTTCAGCATGCTCAATCCCACACGTGCCCTGGCCGGAGCTGGACTACGGTCAAACACGTGTGGATGTTGTGGGCTGCACACAGAAGGTATGCTAGCTGTTTCAACTGTAACAACTTCAAGTTACACTTGCTCAAAATATATTTTGAATAGTACTCAGTGGGTAGAACTAATGAACAAATTAACTGCAGTTTCAAAGTGAGGGGTCGTTGTCGGCATGGTTACTGTACAGACATACAGATATCGAACGGGATATTATAGATAAAATAGGATATATTTTAACATTTTTCTAATTAGTTCACAAACTATCAATTTCCGCACGAAATGGTTTATATGATCATATAGTAATGGACCTCCTCAGCTTGAAAAGAAAATCAGTTTTTGCACAAAATGGAAATTTATATCATGTTCAGGAAAAGATGTTTCATTAAGAACACAGATTTTCCTTTTGAAAACTAAAACTGAATATCTATGTCATTAATTTTGCTGAAGGGGTCGTTGTCGGCACAGGTACTACAGATACGTACCCTAGGGAATGGAATCGTCCTAGGGTACATTTCTGTATTTTCATAATGGCCAGGGTACATGCCTGTAGAACCCGTGCTGACAACAAAACCTTCATGATTTATTTAAGTGAAAATTGTCAAAACTATTAGAGACTTATATTTAAATAGCAATTTCCAAACTCCTTTATTATGTGATGAAAATTCTCAAAAAGGGTTTGAATGAAAACCTTAGGACATCAAAACTTGATTGATGTTAATATCCTCATGTTGAAATGCACCGCTTCAAATTTATTTGATAAATATCATAATTATAGTCCGATTGCAAATTAGGCAAATGGCCTATAATAGCCCGATGACTAGGTTTCCCCAACCTGAGGATATGTACCCCATGCATCTTTGTTTCTGTATACTACCCGCGATCAGGCGAATGGGAACTACTTACGGTGTCAGTTTTAGATTGAGGAGTATGGACACATGATGGTGTCGTCCGGTGTTTAGTGTACCCATTTCTGTATTTTCACTTTGTTTAGGGTAAATTTCTTCAAACAGATACGTACCCAGTTATGTTTCTGTATAAGGACAATGACCCTTTTAGCAGGAATAAGTGATGTTCCTTCTCTCCCCATCTCGGCATACGGCCTGTAACATTAAAATTTTAAAAACTCTTAACCACCCACCCCTTTTCTTTTTTTCTTTTGTGTGTGTGTGTGTGTGTGTGTGTGTGTGTGTGTGTGTGTGTGTGTGTGTGTGTGTGTGTGTGTGTGTGTGTGTGTGTGTGTGTGTGTGTGTGTGTGTGTGTGTGTGTGTGTGTGTGTGTGTGTGTGTGTGTGTGTGTGTGACAATGTGCTCAGCAATATTCAAGCAAATATATGGTGGCGATCAGTTAATGATAAAGTAGAGGCGAGAGAATAGTACTGAACACAACTTGTCCATAATAACAGTGTAGGAAAGATAGCCCGTCCCAACGTCCGAGACGGGTGAATTTTGTGGAGGACGGGTTAAAAAAATATCTAGTCCGTCCTCATGTCGGGTCAATTTTAGCAAACCAATGACATATATATAATGATTATAACCTTTTTGAATATTTACTGCCAAAGGTGTTTTATTTATATTTGGAGGATAGGCTAGATTTTGGCAGGACTGGTAAAAATTTGACCTGCCAGTCCTGTGGACAGGCTAGATTTTCTACATCTTTCCTACACTGATAATAAGCAAATCTGTTTTCCTCAAAGAAACAACCAATTTCACTTTCAGTGCATTCAAAGTTTTATTTACATGGTACTGAGCTGTACATGTAAATCAGATTCTCACTTAGACCATGCATGTTCATAAGCTTAGAGTTGGATTTGGTCTTCAGTAACCCATGCTTGTCATAAGAGGCAAATAACAGGATGGGGTGGTCAGGCTCGCTAACTTAGGTTGGCACATGTCATTGTATCCCAATGCATAGATTGATACTCATGATGTTGATCACTGGATGATCTGGTCGAGACCGATTATTTACAAACTGTCGCAATATGGCTGGAATACTGCTGAGTGCGACGTTCAACAACAAACAACCAACCTTAAGGCTAACAAATTTACAAACTATTGATTTGTCACGAAATGAAAATGAAAAATATTTTTCACAATTGCAAATGTTGGCCATGGCAGTCCTTGATAATAATTGTTCCTGGTATTTTAAGCATTTGCTGTCTCTAACATATAACAAGCAGAGGCCCAGATAAGCTGCGTATCCGGGTAAAATATGCATAGAATTACGTATTGAAAAATAATTGTTGCGTACCAATTAGGCATTTAAAATGATAGATACACAAAAAGTTTACACAAATGCGTACGGAATATATTTATAAAAATCGCTTGCGTAATGAAAAAGACATCGATTTCTATGAAGGTGTACTGTTAGTATAGGACAAGTGTTGCACTGTCAGTATAGGATGAGGGATTTTTTATGAAATAATTTCCATTATATTTAAGTTGGTTTTGATTAGGTATGACATAAGGCAGAACATACCTGCTTAGTAAACTTACTCAATGACATAATACTTAGGTGATTAAAGTGACTGAAATATGCACATATTTGAAAGCAGTGGGTAACGGAAAATGAAATACCCACTCAACATTCATAATACCCACTCCAAAAAAATACAGTGGGTACAGTACCCACATGAGCTAAATCTTATCTGGAGCTCTGTAACAAGTACTACAGTTGCAGTCACAACAATTTCTGCTACTACTAAGTTCGATTCCCCACATGGGTGCAATGTGTGAAGCCCATTTGTGGTGTCCCCTGCCGTGATATTGCTGGAATATTGCTAAAAGCGGCATAAACCCAACTCACTCACTCACTACTACCACTAAAAATACATGTGTAACACTTGCTCACCTGGATTTATGTGTTGCTGACAGTTGACAAGGAATTATCAACATTCCTGGAAAAAGAGATCAAGTTTGAAGAATCCACCAGCAAGTCAAAGGCAGGCCTGCCAAAGATCCCAGGATTCGAGGTCTCGGGCAGATGAATCCCAGGTCATTCTTACCCGCACAGGAGAAGTGAGGTAGGATTAGAGTCTAGAACACTTTGTCTGTGCGTGTAATTCATGAACCAGGCACTACTCCAGCCCTATACATCTTCATCAGTCACGGGACAACACACCCAATTCTGATGTTCCAGGGTTGGTGGATTAGCTTAGTGGTTAAAGCGTTGGTTCATGATGCCGAGGACGTCAGTTTGATTACCTATGTGGGTACAATATGTGAAGCGTATTGTGTCTGTTCCAAGCAGTGATAGTTCTGGAATATTCTTTTTCCAAATTAAGGTAGTAAGCTGACAATAAAAAATCCACTTTCTACTGTTTCCAAACTAGGTTTTAATTTTGTGGCTTAATCATTCTGACTCCAGTAACTCCCTTCAATATCCCTCCTGGGGCGGTGGGGTAGCCCAGAGGTTAAAGCGTTCGCTCGTCACGCCGAAGGCCCGGGTTCGATTCCCCACATGTGAAGCCCATTTCTGGTGTCCCCTGCCGTGATATTGCTGGAATATTGCTAAAAACTACGTAAAACCATACTGAGCCAGTCAGCCAATATCCCTCCTATTGACCAAACTAATGTAAAGATCAAGGTTAGAACTGGCCTTGCACTTGCTGCACTTGTCCTCATAAAGATGCCTATTTCAGCTAACTGTTCAACTGACAGGTGCCCCGTGAAGATCCAGGTTAGAATTGCTTGTCGTAAGAGGTGACTAATGGGATGGGGTGGTCAGGCTCACTGATTTTGTTGACACATGTCATCGTATCCCAATTGTGTAGATTGATACTGATGCTGTTGATCACTAGATTGGCTCGATTATTTACAGACCGCCTCAATATATTTGGACTATTGCTTAGTGCAACTTTTAATTAACTCTTTCAACACCAGTCAACCAGAGGCATTTACTGCCATGACACCGAGTTCCCAGAGACTCTAAGGTCACAGATGAAGCCTATGTTTATGAAGGAAGTTATAAGCTTGTAAAATGTTATTGCTACATCTTATACACCATTTAAGAGATCTAATCCCACTGTTGATAAATATGAAGTTTATTTTTATAATATTATTCAAATAATACAACTACAACTGAAATATTGACCAATCACATCCACCTCTTGTATTACTTGCACTTGCTAATATTTATATTGTGAAAGAACAGTTCAAACACTGCTTCACATCATTTCACCATATTAACGAAAAACATGAAAAGATTTTGAAAATATCTGTAAATGCAGAGTGCTGCAATGGACTGAAATCTGCAAGGCAGTCACAATGTTATTTATGAATTCAGTTGTTAAATTCTTAACTTAATTTTGTTTGGATTGTGCTTAGACTCTTAAGCTTGCCAAAATGAAACTAAGAAATCCAAGTTCGGCAAGGGTGAAGACAAGACTTTAACTGCCTGTTATCTTCTTTGCCCCGGAAAATTGCATGATACAGTCATCCCTCGCCATAACGCAGGTCTTGACACGTGTCAACCAATTCCATCCTCCCAATCCTATTAGTCGCCTCGCAGGAGGTACAAACTTTCAAAGTACAATTAAACTTACCAACTTTTTTAAAAACAGTAATTTTTCCTTATCCTGACTCATGCTCTTTTTGCTTGTCTTCTTCTTCTTGCGAACATAGTGGAACACTTGTATCTCCCTAATTGAAGCTCCCTTCAATGTAAAATCACTAATTAGTACTCAGCACGAGTTACCTCCCTTCCACAAGCTCGGGAACGAGGGCGCCACCTCCACCCATGTGCCTCACTCTCTCCTTCTTCGCCCAGTGAGCTGGACGTGAGAGCACCTGTGTCTCCCGACACACTATATCCTTTGATTATATTTAGTTAGTTACCCTCGTATAGACATCTATAGAGGTTTAGCTAGTATCCTTCAACAATTATATATTGATATTTAGTCGTGTTTCTACTGTTTATTCACGGACGCGTTTTGTTTCAGTGGATTACGCTGATAAAAATTCTGTTCTGTTGCAGATTACGCTTTTTATTCTGCTGCTGATCCGCATTTAATATGCCCTAGTTGTACTGCGCCATGTTCATTTTATTCACGCTTGCAGTTGGCGGTACTAATTTATCCATTTCTGCCTTTAATAAATAATTACTTTGGCGCTTTGAGACGCCGCAGCAGATAGGTCGCTGCATGCAGAGTCTAGCCATGACTGATACACCTGAACCCCTCGCCAGTCTACTGCTGTTGGTCGACCCCGCTCCCGTCTGGTGTTCCGCTAGAGTGCTGGAGAGGCGTGGGACGTAGTCCGCCGTCTCCAAGAAGCGTCCTGCTTCCCCAGACATCCCATCGTCGCAGCCGAAGACTAGAGTTTTTCTACTGCATCTCAACGCGACCTCTGAGGGGAAATCAACGAAGTCTACTTGAACTTTCTCAGCCGAGATTGTTCCCGTCGCAGATTTGGGCCTGTATGATGATCAGCCGATCATCATACCTGATGTACATCAAAAGAATGACCGAGGGCAGCGTCGACCTCTGAGGGGAAATCAACGAAGTCTACTAGGACTTTCTCAACCGAGATTGTTCCAGCCGCTGAACTGAGCCTCTACGATGATCAGCTGATCATCATCCCCGACGTACGCCACAAGAAGCGACCGGAGACATCTACAGTGACATCAGCAGAGATCGCCATGCAGCCTGATGTCTCTACACTGACGTCAGACGACTTCCCTGAGGGTCCCGCCGCTAACATCGCAGAGAGGGCACCGACTAATTCGTCGCAGACCATCCCAGATGAACTGTTGCGGCAAATCATGATCATGATGGAGGGCCACCACAGACTGGGAAGCAGCCAGCCCAAGGCCCGAGCCTTCGCCTTCGCGAAGGTTCCAACGCAGACGACACCCCAGAGGCACCCCCATCAGCGTAGCAGCCACGACGAAGCCACCTTCGCGAAGGAAGTCGCAGACCACCTCCACGGCGACCCAGATGTACAGCTCTTCGCTAAGGCCTTCGCTAAGGCGGGATAGATCATCACCTTCCTCGCTTCATCCCTAGATGCGGACTCAGACCGTCAGACCTCACGGAAGCCTTCGCGAAGGTCAAATCGCCGTTCCCCAGGACCGGACGCAGAGGAAGCTTCGCGAAGGCCTTCGCGAAGGACACCTGACTACACGAGCTTCGCGAAGCTATCAACATTCTCCTCACAGGTCTCCGAGAAGGTCAACCCATAGACGAGTTCACCAACACGATCTCCGCTGCCAACTGCCGCTAACCAAGGCCGATCTCCTCGTACATCACCACACAAGTCTGCACATAAGTCTACAGTCAGGTCTCCCCGAAAGGCCACCCGACATAGAGATAGAAATACACAGTCCACCATCAGAAGAGCATCAACCTCTCATCAGTGATGCTGGATAGAAAATGATGGAGGCATCATTTTCTCAGACGCTGAGATACGATATTGGATGGTAAACAACCTAGATCTCTCTTCACCTTCCAAGAGTGGCAACTCGGGCGCAGACATACCTGATAAAGGAAGACGAGGCAGACGCCATCACCTTACCTCCAATCGACTCGATTGCTGCGGTGCCACAGTATGTAGACACAGCCTACCATAAAGCCATAACAGTTCAAACGCCAGAGGCGATGTTATTGGCATTAATAGATCTAGAACGATCAATGAGATTCTTATCACCAGATTTCGCGGACACCCACTTCTGAAGATGATAGGATGATCTACTCGCTCTACTTATGCAGAACCAGCAAGAACCACACCCTGTATGAAGCTAACGCCATATATTGATCGGTTTCTAGACACTTCGCTAAGGAAGTCCCAGGCCACCTCCGCCAAGGAGCTACAGCCTCACCAGTTACAAGGGACGCCACGGAGGAGTAGCGCTTCACCGACCCCACATATTGCTGAGTGCGGCGTAAAAACAATACACTCACTCACTCACCCTGTTGAACACAGAGGTCGCTCATGGGCAAGCCATATATAATATATATACTGATCGGGTCTGACTCAATACCTTCGCTAAGGTCGCTAAGGCTAAGTGGCTCCAAGTCTACCTCACACAGGAAATCTAGATTGATACTTCGAGAGCTTCACAAATCTCCGGCGCCCACCGAGGAATTCTCCTCCAAGGTCTCCATATATTAGCCACTCGGCCATATATAGCTACTGCCAGTCCGCTCAAGACATCGCATAAGTTGTCTATCAACTGTATGCCATATGCCGCCTATAAGCCTACGCTAAGACAATTGCACAGGCTATTTACAACACAGAACGCCGCTATATTAATTAATCAACGACGCTGCATAGATCTTCACAGAAATCAACCTTTCCGTGATAGATTGCTAGAATATGCAATCCCGACTACGATACGATTATCTACATGCGACCATTACGCAGATCTGCAGACAATTCAATATCGAAATTGAACAGCAGCCTTGTTACAGCGAGTATAACTCATAATCGTCAAAGTTTCTGAGAAGAAATATGTACAACAAGTTCAGCTTTAATTCTACAATTATGACGATACATTCATGTATACAGTCTACAAGCTGACAACTTGCAAGTTTATTGTACCTTTATATAAGAAAGTCGGAATTATATTCAAAACTGAACTTACTTTCACGACAGCCAGGAAAATAACCTACCCAGCATTAATATTACAGAGCGAGGTATTTCGCTACCGAGGTTTCGCTAAGCGCTACCTTTAACCTCAAACACGTGGGTCACTCGGGTAACTTCGAAGCTACGTGAAGACCGACGATTATGCTAATATCAACGACGCAAGATTTTATACAAGGTTTTTCCTGCTACACCGGGTGACATCACAGCTGGTATTCTACAGAATCAAAATGCCTTGTTCTGATTGGACCACTTGGACAACGACTCCACGAGAGGTCGATCTTAGTTCACAGGTCAACACTTACGCTACAAGTGACAACTATATATCAGTGAACGAGCAAGCCTCCTTACAGTCCAGTTAATCTGAACCTTCATGATTGGGCTGCTTTCTTCAGGTTATAGACCTCCCCTGTCAAGTTAGGACGAGGCACGGCAGTCAGGCAATTTTACATAAACTTCAACGAGGACAGACACACCTGGTTGTGCACCTACATCGCCAAGGACTTCGCAGCTTAATAACCTAGACGACGGGATACAAGTGGATCTAAATCCACAGCCGCCTCAGACTACAGCTGAATTTCATAATCAAGCTACTAACACAACTAGATGGTTAGTAAACCTACTTAAACTTTCTGATTGGAGAATTAAAACGGAAGTTTCACCCTCCAACTTGGGGATCTGAATATAGTGTTCCAACACCTCACAAGTGAGGTTTATGAACACGCCTGGATGACATACTTGGACTTCATGATACGATGATTCTATCACGATGGCCAGCAAGAGCACTGTAAATTTATCTCCACCGAACCAAACAGAAGGGAATAATACAACAGATTATTTCCTCTATCATCAACTTACGAGAATGAAATCTCACGCACTATATCTCCGCTTGATCAGAACTGTCATACTACGTGCATACAAGACGGATGGACCTAATCCGACCCTCCATGAGCTTTTAATACTCATGATATTAGAGCTAACTTCTGCATTGATCTACACAATGTTATTTGAAATAATGGAGGGTTTATTTTCTGAGATCCGATATGGTGGTTGCCAACCATTATCTGAGAGATATCATCACCGAGGACGCCTCAGGTATCCACCAATTCGATCCCATGGTCCTCGCACAACAGTTGACAGTTCCTCGAGAAGATAAGTCAATCTTACAGATTTCTACTTATCTTATAACAGTACTAAATAGCTACATGCTATATATAATTTGCTTAAGTTCTTTTATCATCACAGTACTATGATTATTACATCATACAATATATAAGTTAACAACTCTACAGAGTTGGTTATTATATATTTACCTTAACTTAATTATATCTTAAGCATAGTACTATACTCAGATTGTAAAAATATATAAGCTAACAAACTCTACAGAGTTTGGGCTATTATATAGGTAGCTTAAGCTTATTCATATCTTAAGCTCAGTACTATGTTTATATCATATAAGTATATTAGCTAACAAACTCTAAAGAGTTTTTGCTATTTGGCTTAAGTCTCATCATATCTTAAGCAATATGGTTACATTATAACATGTATTAGCTAACAAACTCTACGGAGTTTTTTGCTATATGTAACTTAAGCTTATTCATATCTTAAGCGCAGTACTATGTTTATATCATATAGGTATTTTAGCTATCAAAACTCTAAAAGAGTTTTTTGCTATTATATATTTGGCTTAAGTTTCATCATAATTTAAGCTTTATGGTTACATTATAATTTGTATTAGCTAACAAACTCTACGGAGTTTTTGCTATTATATATGTAGCTTAAGTTTCCTTCAAATCTTAAGCTCAATACTATGTTTATATCATATAAGTATATTAGCTAACAAACTCTACGGAGTTTTTGCTATTATATATGTAGCTTAAAGTTTCCTTCAAAGCTCAATACTATGTTTATATCATATAAGTATATTAGCTAACAAACTCTACGGAGTTTTTGCTATTATATATGTAGCTTAAGGTTTCCTTCATAAACTCAATACTAGGTTTATATCATATAAGTATTTTAGCTAACAAACTCTAAAGGGTTTTTTGCTATTATACAATTAGCTTAAGTTTCATCATATCTTAAGCAGTATGGTTACATTATAAAATGTATTAGCTAACAAAACTCCACGGAGTTTTGCTATTATATATATAGCTTAAGTTTAATTATATCTTAAGCTCAGTACTATGGTTATAACATAAAAGTATATTAGTTAATAAACTCTAAGGAGTTTTTTTTTGCTATATACATTTAGCTTAAGTCTAATCTTATCTTAAGCTTAGTACTATGGTTACATTATTAATCTATAAGCTAATAAACTCTACAGAGTTTTGGCTATTATATATGTAGCTTAAGTTAATTATATCTTAAGCACAGTACTATACTCATATTGTAAAAATATATTAGCTAACAAACTCTACAGAGTTTTGCTATTATATATGTAGCTAAAGCTTATTCATATCTAAAGCTCAGCATTATATCTATATCATATAAGTATATTAACTAACAAACTCTAAAGAGTTTTGCTATTATATAATTAGCTTAAGTTTAATCATATCTTAAGCTTAGTACTATGTTTATATCTTAAAGTATTTTAGCTAACAAACTCTAAGGAGTTTATACTAGCATATTAACAAGCTTAAGTCTATTAGTCTTAAGCATTGTATTAATGTTATATATACTTTATCATAATAAGTACTTTGTAATAACCTTTATATGGCAGCTGATAAGTTAGCAGCAGGAATTCATCAGTTCAGTACCTTTATGAAGTTCCCATAGGGTTATTACAATCATCACAGTTCAAATCACTAATTATTAAAATCCAAAGTATTATATATTTCCCACCTCCCTTTCCGTCGGAGTCTACAAGCAAAAAGAGCATGAGTCAGGATAAGGAAAAATATGTAATTTTTAGAGTAAAATTGATATTTTATACTTATCCTGACTCATGAGGTAAGCCCTCCCATCCTCCCCACATAACACTTTGGATTTCCCTGTAAATTCAAATGTTGGGCTCAGTATATGAGGAGAGAGTGAGGCACATGGTGGAGGTGGCCTCTGCTCTCCCTGGCTTGGAAGGGAGGTAACTCGTGCTGAGTACTAATTAGTGATTTTACATTGAAGGGAGCTTCAATTAGGGAGATACAAGTGTTCCACTATGTTCGCAAGAAGAAGAAGACAAGCAAAAAGAGCATGAGTCAGGATAAGTATAAAATATCAATTTTACTCTAAAAATTACATTATATTATTGTTTTCCCCCAGCGTGAAGGTGACTTTCAACATAAACGGGTCAGCCGACTCGGACCAGATGCCACAGATCGGGGACACGCCACCCACTGATGAGGACGTGCAGGTGAGATTACCTTGTCTAATTTATTTGTCACTTTTCCCATATTAACTTCATGAGTTAAGAAATGAAATTTTACAAATCTGACTCATTTCATGCACAACGCCTGCAACGCTTCACATACAATATTTGCATATTGGTCTTAAATTGATTGTCACACTCAATACTATTCCAGATATATGAAAATGTCCTTTATCATTCAACTGAAGTATTTATCCATCACGTAAGCTCATCATATAAAAGGGGCGGTGGGGTAGCGTAGTAGTTAAATCGTTCTCTCGTCACGCCAAAGACCCAGGTTCGATTCCCCACATAGGTACAATGTGTGAAGCCTATTTCTGGTGTCCCTGCCATGATATTGTTGGAATACTGCTAAAAGTGGACCACGTCATACCAAAAGACGTTAAAATATGGTACTTGTTGGTCCCTGCCTGGTGCTCGGCATTAATGATGGACTGGTCGGCTCGGAGTCAGTATAATGTGTCTGAGTGGGGTATTCATGCTTCACTGTGGCATGGTATCTCAGTGGGCTAGCACTATAAAACCAGCTTTAGTCTGGGCTAGTACAAACAGACGCACATACACATGCATGCACGTCGTCATATGAGCGAAATATTCTCAAGCACGACGTAAAACCCAATTTCACCTCACCTCACCTCCAAGAAGTTGAGATGTTTTTGGCCGGAGCATGTGGTAAATGTTTATGAGCAGTAGGAATACCTAATATGATGGAGACAGTGTAATCAAAGGGGAAGTGCTACAGGGATACATGTATCAGTGTTGCCAAATGGATATTACAGGCTACAGATTTGAATTTGAATTTGATAAAGGCAGATTATCTAAATTCCCTGTGACCAATATTTCATAATCTGAACACCATCTTCCGGTACAGCAAAGCAGACTACAAACAAACAGCCTAACATGCCCAAGGAAGATTTGTTACTGTTGAGAAACGGTGTGATTCTACACAATTGAAACAGAAACACAGTCACAAAAACTATGTTTTGGAACTGTTTTGATAACTTTCTAAAAGTCCAAAATGAAAGTTGTATATTCCTGAAATACACCCAAATATGCCATGAATTGTTGAGAATTTACCTGTATAGAAAACGAATTTTAACAATGTGTTTTCAACCAATCAGAAAGGCTGATAGGACTTCAAGGTATTACCACTATAGCAGTACAATGCATTATGTTTTGCAGATGCTATTCCAATAAAAATCTGAACTCTGTTGTGTTGGGTAAAAAATAAAATTTGTGATGATCTTTATTAAGTTAATCCTTATGCTGTTGATCACTGGATTGTCTGGTCCAGACTCGATTATTTACAGAGCGCCGCCATATAGCTGGAATATTGCTGAGTGTGGCGTAAAACTAAACTCACTCACTCACTATTAAGTTAATCAAACACATATTCACAACTGATGTTTATCTTTTTAATTGATTGATAAAACAGCATACATACATACTCTAAATTGTATTTATAAACGAAAGGAGGAATCCCTAACTTTCCAACCTAACTTCAAGAATGTTGCCAGAATCAGAAGATATACTTTTAGTGCCTCAGTATGTTTGATGTGTATGTACAGTCAGTGTCACTCACTGTGAAACATTTCAGGTCCCAAAATACTGTAATATGGATACCTGTATTACAAGATATTGTAGTACACTGTATTTGCCAATACACAGCCTTGGCGGCTTACCAATCCATTTGTTTCCAATGTGGTGTTCTACCTACAGATGATCTCGAAGCCTCCTTTTACTGTGGAGCTGGACAAGGGGTCGGGAGAGGTGCTGGCATTCCAGTGTGCGTTCTCCCCAGCGGAGGACATGGAACAGGAGTCCGGGGAACAGGGAACAGAAGCAATCGGTAAGTAGGGGTCACTTGTTGGGAGTTCGCGGAACAGAAGCCATCGGTAAGTAGGGGTCACTTGTTGGGAGTCCGGGGAACAGAAGCCATCAGTAAGTAGGGGGCACTGGTTGGGAGTCCGGGGAACAGAAGCCATCGGTAAGTAGGGAGCACCTTGTTGGAGTCCGGGGAACAGAAGCCATCGGTAAGTAGGGGGCACTTGTTGGAGTCCGGGGAACAGAAGCCATCCGTAAGTAGGGGACACTTGTTGGGAGTCAGGGGAACAGGAACCATCGGTAAGTAGGGGGCACTTGTTGGGAGTCCGGGGAACAGAAGCCATCGGTAAGTAGGGGGCAGTAGGGGGAACACAACAGCCATTGGGGACACTTGGGGAGTCAGGGGAACAGAAGCCATCGGTAAGTAGGGGCACTTGTTGGAGTCAGGGAACAGAAACCATCCGTAGTAGGGGACACATCGGTAAGTAGGGGGCACTTGTTGGGAGTCAGGGGAACAGAAGCCATCGGTAAGTAGGGGTCATTTGTTGGGAGTCCGGGGAACAGAAGCCATCAGTAAGTAGGGGGCACTTGTTAGAAGCTGGGTTTCAGTTTTGCCATTTACTGATTACATTAATAATGTATGGAAATAATATTTTGCACCAAGTCATGTTTCCATGGAAACAACAAAAAATGAAATTCTGATAAACTTTAAGATATCAAAGGGCACATCTGTTGGTCATGATTAACATGTGTGTTAAGTTTGGTGAACCTAGCATGTACAGTTTCGGTCATATGCTCCGGAAGCAGAGGTATACTAGTAATTAGAAGTTAATGATAAACACATGAAGGTGTCAGATATTTTTATTATTTCAACAGTACTCCCTTGTGAAACAGTTGCTGTTGATAGTTTCTGAAGTAAAATCTTTAATAGTTGACATACATTTTAGAAATTCAACACCCAATTGGATCATCAGACATCATTATTAATTGAGCCAATTAAAATTGATTTAAACATTTTGGATGTTTAAACGTAACTTGCAAAATAACTTGTTCCAAAAGTTAGGTTGACGGACAATAGTTTCAAATCTTGGATGAGTCTTTGAAAAGCACACACTAAGCCACTTACATTACTGGTGAATATATGAATACTAAAGGGTTCTCCAGAAAACCATTAGTGTTTTGGCCTTTTGATATAAAACAGCAGTTTTAAGTGATGCTTGATTGTTCTTTCTTGGTGTTATCAAGACAGTCTTTTTGAGCATTTAGTATTTTCCAAAGTAATACATTTTAAGGCTCCTGGTACCATATATACAAAGCCATCATAGATAACACCATTCATAAGCCTATGATAGAAAGGTATAGAGTTGTGATGGGTTGTACCGTTAAGAAGCCTTTGTGTACAGGGCCTCTTTTCACAAAGCTATCGTGGGGCCGGTGGGGTAGCCTAATGGTTAAAGTGTTGGCTCATCACGTCGAAGACCCGGGTTCGAATCCCCACATGGGTATAATGTGTGAAGTCCATTTCTGGTGTCCCCCGCCGTGATGTTGCTGGAATATTGCTAGAAGCGGCGCAAGACGAAACTCAGTCAGTCAGTCAGTCGATAAGCTATCATAAGGCTACGACTGTTGTAAGTCTGTGTCAAAGTATAGGAGGTGCGACAGTCCTAGCGCTATGATAGCTTTGTGAAATGTGACCAGGAACTGTGGGCCATGCTGTGAGAGACCTCTGTCTTGTTTCAGTCGACCAGTTTGAGATCCAGGAGGTGTCGGTCCATCAAGGAGACTGGAAGGACACAGTGTACACCCTCCCAGCAGAAACCATGGACGGGGTGAGAGAGATGTAGTGGTTGCCACATCCTAATCTTAGTCGCTAAGACCAAGTTGATAGATATGTTTCCCTACTAACCCCAATATGGAGGCCCTGTCCTGAAAATCTATTCTCGTTTTTCTCTAAGACCAAGTTGATAAATATGTTTCCCTACTAACCCCAATATGGAGGCCCTGTCCTGAAAATCTATTCTCGTTTTTCTCTAAGACCAAGTTGATAAATATGTTTCCCTACTAACCCCAATATGGAGGCCCTGTCCTGAAAATCTATTCTCGTTTTTCTCTAAGACCAAGTTGATAAATATGTTTCCCTACTAACCCCAATATGGAGGCCCTGTCCTGAAAATCTATTCTCGTTTTTCTCTGCAAACTCTGTAGCTTATGTTACAGTTATTCCAACCTTTGATACCACTATTGTAATTCTGCTGCACTTTATTACAGTTAAGCCAGTGATTATCAGAAAGAATAAATGCCTACAAAACCAAACCTACCTACTGTATTTAGAATTTATTCAGCATCCCATGTTTATTGCTAGAGACTAATAGAATCAGACTTGCTAACTTCAGGGCTCGAAAATTCCACTCGTCTGCTCATATTGACGAGTAAAATTTGTTTGATAATTTGCTAGAGGAAGAGTACGTTTTCTGACACAACTATTTTTCAAAACAACAAGTTTAAGTTTTGTCCAATCACGATTCCCCATAGCAGACTGTTGCAGAAAAGCATCATTAGAAACCAATCTTTATTCAATAAAATTGCTTCTTATAACTGTGAAATTTATCTTGGCAAAATATCACTTGCTTGGTGACAGTGTTGATGTTCAGAGCTTTCGAACGATACCCACCATCAAATGAATTGCCTCACATGTTATCCGTACTAAGCTTCCAAAACGGACGTATTTCATGCTGTTGTATCACATTACCGAGCGGAAAGCTACTGATATCGGGAAATAGATGACCATACATATTATTTGAGAAATCTTTTTAAAATAATATTCCGATTACGTAAAAATTAAAATATAAAAGAAAAAGGTCTCTTGAAACTCATGTCATGGCAGTAAATGCCTCTGGTTGGCTGATGTTGTATGAGTAAACAGATTAGTGGAAATTTTAATTTAACCTAATGTTTTAATAATCCTGTCATTTATTAAACCCACTTGCCAGGTGTCATTGATATTTTCAACAAGGTAATAAGTTCACTATTTCATGCTTTGTTGGGTTTACAATATCCACTACGTTCATTTGTAATTTGCTAGTTTTCTCAAATATTTCAAGTCTGAACTGCGTATCGTCTTACAAAACCAAGGGAAGTAACATGTTTCTTTTTCTTTAAAGTTCAGCTATCTTAAATGGTGAGCAAATTAGCTCATAAAGTAAGTAATGTTTATTGTAGTTTTATTCCAAGCAAACATTTTGAAATAAAATAGTTTAAATTTACTTTCATAATGTTGCATAGGGCAAGTACAATTTTAGAAGGACGAGTGGAAAGTTCATATTACTAGCCCTGCAGGGCAAGTGCAGATTTTAACATTTTTCGAGCCCTGAACTTTATTGACTTTATTGATGCATGTCATCATATCCAAATTGTGTAGATGGATGCTCATTATGTCAATCACTGGATTGTCTGGTCCAAACTTGATTACGTACTGACCAGCTGTCATGTAGCTGGAATACTGCTTGCTGTGAATTTTGGATACAATGACAAGACAAGACCATTTTAATCCAGACTTTCAATTGTTGGTGGGGGCTGGTTTGGTAGCCTAGTGGTTAAAGTGTTGGCTCGTCATGCCAAAGACCCAGGTTTGATTCCCCGCAAAGATGACGTCCTAACCTTGAGGACCGGGTTCACGTGTTCACGTCTCGGGTCGTTTGGACAAGGCGTCGCGCTTCAGATCAGAAGGTCCTTGGATCGAATCCAATCATATGGCGTTCACTTGTCACCATTTCTGGTGTCCCTTGCCATCATATTGCTGAAATATTGCTAAAAGCGGAGTAAAACCATACTCACTCATGAATGGTGAAAGTTTTGAGGATGTGTAGGACCATTATATGAGTGACATTAATTCATGACATGGAATTGACAAAAGTAGTCAATTACTCCTTAACTGCTCAGTAACAATGTTTTGGTAATATTTCCAGAACCTGTACGACCTGCTGATGGACATGCTGGACGAACGCGGCATCAATGATGAGTTCATCAACAACCTTGTGGAATTCAGCACTGCCTACGAACACGGGAAGTACCTCGGTTTCCTCCAAAAACTGAAGTCTTTTGTTGAAAAGTAACATCTTAAACCAAAGATACTCCAGAGGAGCATTTATATGTTGGACACAAGCTGGGATGAGAGACTGGACAGATGTGAGGGCTGTGTGAAGCTGGCACGCCAGACATCACCCAACACGGACAACAGAGATAGTTGTGTTCATTACCATCAGTGCTGAATTCTATGGTGACATTTCACTTGCAGGAAGAATTTATATATAGTGCTAAAAATATTACAGAGCATGTCTTGAAAAAATCAGGAATCCTAGACATTTTGAGTTTTATATGCCATAATGGAGTATATATGAAGATATGTTTGGAGGTCTCACTGAGAAATGTTATTTCTATTGTTTTGTGTTAATAGCCTCTGTATCTTACTTTAAACAATTTCATTGATTTTTTTTTGTGCAGTTGCCCATCGCAACGATCATTGCATTGGTTTGGTTAATTACATGCTTCTGTTGTGTATGTGGAATAGTGTGAAGCCCATTTCTGGTGTCCCCCGCCGTGATATTGCTGGAATATTGCTAAAAGCGGCGTAAAACTAAAATCAGTCAGTCAGTATGTGGAATATTCCTGACTGCAGTGTCAAGCATCGAACAAGTATTGATACAAAATGTTGAAATGTTTTTCTAACTGCTTTTGTTATCAAGTTTATTAGATCACTGTCTCTTGCCTCCAGAGCTATCACAGGGCTCCAGATAAGGGGCGTATGTACGGATAAAAAATATGCACGATACGGTAGGAAATAATTTAGAAAACGTAGCAGATACGCACCACTGCAATGGTGTACGGTCTTAGAATCATTTACAGACGTATTTATCTGAAAAAGTACTGTTTTATTGTTTATTGACCTGTTTACACAAGACTAGCAATGTTGTGGTGCGTATATGAAACGAAACACAAGGTTACTGATCCGCCATTAAATTCCATTCAGTACTCTGAATGTACTCTTATGTTTTTCCAGTACTCCTATATTGAAAAAATAAGGAGTACGTACTCCTGATGTTGAAAAATTATCTGGAGCCCTGTATCAGTAATACATGGATTTATTACCCTCATAAAGTTTAGTGTACTGCCATTAAATACTGTCCCCCAAATCTCGATTATTGCTGAGTGTGGTGCCACACAAGCAAAACAAACTGTCAGCCATTCACATATGTATGACTTTTCATTTTATGTTTTTGCACAAATCATTAATCAAAATCATGTATTTTTTAACATGTGGACTTTCTAGGCATTAGTGGCCTAATCATTTAAATGGTTTGTAGACAGTGTTTGAGAGATTCTTGCATAGAAGTGACCAGTTGTCTAGTTCATGAGGTATTTTTCTACCAATTCTTCATAATGGTATAAAATGTCTTTGTAGATGTTGGTGTTCTGTCTCCAAATACTGAAGACCAGCCTGATACAAATCCTTGATTATCAATGATGTCTCCGTTCTGGTAGATAAATACCCAGCACCCATTCATGAGAGGGTTTTATATGAAGTGATGACACTTTTGCAATCGCTCATGTCACTAAATTAACCCAGCATTTTCTTGCTTGTGAAACTGTTTGTCGATTTCCGCATGCACAAGCATAAACAATTGCAACTTCATGCACACATGCTCATTTTGTATGAAGTATAAGGGTGGAGACGTGTTAGATGAGCAGTTAGGTGAAATATATATGGTTATGAGTACTGGGTCAGAAGGTGTTGTCATGCTGCAGGTTAAGTTACAGACTGTACCGAAGATGTGCATATAGCTGTTTTCAAAATTTGATTGAACACCTGTTTTGGAGATCATGTAACACCTGTTTTGGAGATCATGTAACGCTATCATGTAACGCCTGTTTTGGAGATCATGTAACGCCTGTTTTGGAGATCATGTAACGCCTGTTTTGGAGATCATGTAACGCCTGTTTTGGAGATCATGTAACACCTGTTTTGGAGATCATGTAACGAGATCATGTAACACCTGTTTTGGAGATCATGTAACACCTCTTATGGAGATCATGTAACACCTGTTTTGGAGATCATGTAACACCTGTTTTGGAGATCATGTAACACCTGTTTTGGAGATCATGTAACGCCTGTTTTGGAGATCATGTAACGCCTGTTTTGGAGATCAGGTTATTGAGACAGTACTGAACACAGCTATTGTCACTGATCGGTATATGGGTCAAGGTGTTTGTCACCTTGAATGGGGATACCCTAATAGAAAATCAAGGATGCGGTAATCATGTTTGTCCATCTGAAGAGACAGCTAAGTTTACACACCGATATTGTGGTTCAGAGAGAAGTGTCCACCTTTGGTCATTGTTTCCAGCCTTTGAAGGATTTAAGGAAACTGCCCATGTCCTCACCCAGGAAGCTGATCTGACAGTGACTTTGAGATGGACTAGTGACATTGACATGGTTGCTAGGAGACCTGTCATGGAGACAGTCGCCCTCCCTGTGAGTGAATGTAGGTGTGAGACATATATAGATGAATATATAGCGGGTATGCATGTGTGTGATCAATTAGCCAGACATATACAAATAAAAAAGTGAAATTCAAACTAGTTTATGTTGTTTTTGCTTGTACTGGGACAGATTTGGTCCCATCAAATTGGGGGCGGTGGGGGAGCCTAGTGGTGAAAGCGTTCGCCATGCGGATGGCCAGGGTTCGATTCCCCACATGAGTACAATGTGTGAAGTCCATTTGTGGTGTCCCCTGTTGTGATATTGCTGGAATATTGCTAAAATCAGAATAAAACTAACCTCACTCACTTATCAAATTGTAAGTCTGCAGGCTAGAATCGATGGTAAAGCATTTGCCCAGATTTGAACTTGCAGGTGGGTTGAACCTGAGTGATAACTATCAGAACACTGTATTACTTAAGTAGCCGGGAGAGCGGAAGGTCGCGGGTTCGATCCCCGACCCTGTCATACCAAAAGACGTTAAAATATGGTACTTATGGTCCCTGCCTAGCGCTCGGCATTAATGGGTACAACAAGGACTGGTCGGCTCGGAGTCAGTATAATGTGTCTGAGTGGGGGTATTCATGCTTCACTGCGGCATGGTATCTCAGTGGGCTAGCACTATAAACCGGCTTCAGTCTGGGCTAGTACAATCAGCCGCACATACACATACACACGCATGCACGTCGTCATATGTGCGATTCTCAAGCACGACGTTAAACCCAATTTCACCTCACCCTCACCTCCTGGAAAGTAAGCTGACTTAACTCTGTTAGTGCTCAACGTGGTCTTGTACCTATACATTGCACTCACTGCAAACGCGTGCTTGTTTTAAATCTAAGCTTTAATGGGCTTACCAAATCGTTGATGGCAATTAGTGCAGTGCTAATCTTGGTACCCGACAACATTGTCGCTCAAATATCGATCACAGGATTATCTGGTTCAGACGTGCACAGTTCAACACAAAGACTTGTCTTTATTTTTAGTTGCTATCTATTCTCAGGTGGATATAGGGTCCCGCCAATCCAGTAACCTGACTTTCAGAAATAAGTTGGTTGGCATTGTGCGCGCGTGCGATGGGGGCAAAGTTACGTCAGACCCGATCCATTAAGTCCCCTGGTAGACATTAATCCGAAGAGAGAAGATTAGTGAGGAAATTTAACTGAATAGAACGAGAATATCCAGCATAACGTAACATTTAAGGTGCTTTTATTCCAGCAATACGACGGTACGGGACATTACAATTTAGCCTTACACATTGCGTCCATGTGGGAATTCAAAACTGTTAAGACAAGACAAGAATTTTATTTTATTCAAGGCCTCCGGCGCACATACAGTTTACAGAGTTATACATAAATATTTTTTACAAGTCAATTGTAATTATTTTTCAGTTATTGATCTCTTAAACTCAAACCTGTCTTAGGCATGACAAGCGAACACTTTCAACACTAGGCTACCTCTCACCCTCATTACAATTGTATAAATATGACTATGATATGAGTTGATCCCTGTAGTTGTTCCGTTTCTTTCACAAAGCGTCTTCACTGGAACGATATGAAGATTTAGTTAAAGACGATAGTATTGTCTCTCATAATTCCGTACAGAATAGCTCGACTTTTTACTGTGATATACTCTTCATGTACTTTTTCTGTCACGTTGAGGCGAGACTCGAATAAAATATCTGTCTGTCAATAATACAATCATGGCGCCGCGTTTCATGGTCGTTATACGGTACGAAGCACTGATTAACAACAGACGTGAAGGGTTTGATTGTTTTATTTGATAACTAGATGTATGGAAAGGAGGTGTGCTGGTTGAAACCACTGTGACGCGCCGCACGTTGAACATGTCATTGTGTAGAGGATTATTGCTTACGTCATTGTGGAGAGGAGGTTGTTGCATTATAACAGGTGTTTTGATCGGATAAAGATTAAGCAAATACTCGTGCTATCCGGCTATACATTACTTCAGGATCAGTGTGTTATGTATGGCGCATTCTCAGTGTCGTCTGCGGCATAGAGTAACTATCGGAAGTCGTTCAGAATATGACGGGAGGATGTGTTCATGTGGAACGAGGGAGACATGAGCATGTGTAGTGACGGCACAAGGGTGAGTTAGCCTTCGAATCATTACTTTACAAAATTTATGTTGCGTGTGAAAGAGGCTTCAGTGCAAATTCCAGGCCAATTTCCATTAGCCCAAAATTTCTACATTAACCCATTTCATAATGTACTTTCGACGTTTTTGGTTTCCCGTTTTTGTGTGAAAAAAAAGTATTAAAATGCAAAAAGGAAAAACAACAAATGGTACTCACGTATTACACCGGACATGTACCTACTATATTGGATTAGGTCCCTAACCCTAAACCCTAAACCCTCAGCCCTAACCCTAACCCTAACCCCTTGAAATAATCCTAATAAATAGAATGCATTGACCGAACCACCGGACATTAGGTAATTATATTGACACCTACTATTAAATGTATTCCGGACAAATGTACTTATTAAATGTAACAATTTGTGCATTAGTCGTACCTACTATATTGCATTAGGTCCCCAACCCCAACCCTAACCCTAAACCCTAAACCCTAATCCTAGCCCTAGACCCAGCCCTAGCCCTAACCCTAATCCCTTGAATTACTCCTAATAAATAGAATGCATTGACAGAACCGGCACAAACACGACTGGCGTGTCTAGTGTAATGCATTATTACCGCTTCGAAATAAAAAATACTAATAAAACACTTTTCTGTGTAATGGTGCAACTTACTGAATGACAAAAATATATATGTAAATTTAAAAAATTACAAAATACAAAATACACAACACTTAACACCCCAGCAGCCCGTAATACAAATAAATATGAGCGGATTAGTGAAAAAGATAAAATATTTCAAACTGGTGCTTGCAAAATATTGCGCATCCGCCGGTATACAACTACTGGAAACTCTCAACATCGTTGGCCTTATGCAATGACATAGCTCGTAGAGATGAAACACCAGTGAGCGGAGCTTATACGCACTCGCTGAGCCAGACAACCGTGTTGCCATGCAGGCGTCATAGGGCATTGTTTCGAGATCGTGCTTTCGAACAAAATCACATTACATTACGTAAAAGGGTATTATGACGTATTTTTAAAGTTTGTGGTGCTGTATTCTAAAGGTAGGCCTGTGTGTTTGTAGGGGTGAGGAAGGTTGGACGTACTCATCGCTTCAATTTAGGATTTTTTAACTTAATTGTCCTCTGTTTATACGGCGATCTTTGGATTGTTTCTCAATCTAAAGATTTGACGCATCGCAGGCACTGTGACGTCACGTCTGCTGTTCCTCGGTGACGTCATTCATATTGGTCGTCACCACACCTTGACAACGGGAACAATCGGATCGTCGCTTAGAAACTTCATGACGTCATGCCATCTTACCAACGGAAATATGCTTGCAACCTTCAGGCAGATATGTGAGGAACAACTTCTACACGATTTGGCCGTCATTTCAGTTGCGTATTCCAGTATGTGTCAAAAGACAGTGACATTGTGTTTTGAAACGGATTATGTTCTTGGGAACAGCGGCCGTGTTGCGATAACAGGATCTCTTCAGGAGCTGGGATCGTGGAATCCCAAGGAATGCCTTATGGCATCAGTCCACCCACCCGGGTCCGGTCACTGGCGGTTGTGCGTGACCCTCCCTCGCAAGACGACCTTCACCTGGAAGTGGATAGTGGTGTCCCCGGACAAGTCGAAGGTGTGGCGATGGGAGGAACAGGAAGATAGGGAAACGTGGTCAGGAATTTTCAACGGTCGATGGACAGCACCATGGAACGGAACTGCTGTATTTACACCAGAAAAACACAATGAGGAATTTGGTAGGTTAAATATCACCAAGTTGACGCTGTCAATCTGGCTATCTGTACTCTTGTATCCAACATCAATGATATTGAAGAGGTAAAAGCGTATTATCAGCTGTTTCATATGACATGTATCACCGCATCCATCCTTCGTTAACAACGGATGGAGGGACACGATACAGAAAATATAGACACCGGTAAAGTATATACACACTGATCACTGGATTGTCTGGTCCAGATTGATTATTTACATACCGTCGCCATATAGGTGAAATATTGCTGAGAGGGGCGTAAAACTAATCTCACTCAACCCAGTTTTACCTACACCTAACCATCCATTGTTAACTGACAGCCAAAAGAAATTTGTGTCTGCCTGGTCTGTCTGAAACGAACAAATATTGCAACACGTGATCAGCCAAATGTTTTCGCAATGTGGGCATGGGGTGGCTCCCATCTGTATCATACCCAGGACCATTGTTCGGGTATCATTTACATAACCTGACTCCACGTGTATTTTGGCTGCCCAAGCGTCACGCGTTTTTCACAGTTTCGAAAAACCTACATAATGATTACGCAGTGCCGTGCACGTGTATCCTTTTCTTCATAAGGACATTGCTATTTTGGACATTGTATTTTGCACTGATTTAGCTTGAAATTTCATTTTTAAGTGGTAACGGTTCTTTTGGTCGTCAGTTTATTATTATTATTATTACTGTTGTTGATAACATACAAGAAGTTGGGACATACAATATTGAACAAACTTCATGGATAACAACTTCTTTTATTACGTGAGTGTGACGTAATAAAAGAAGTTGTTATCCATACAGTTTATTCAACATTGGGCTCCCAACATTGTTGTTGTTGATGTGGTATTGACTTTTAAAGTTGTCCATGCAGAAAGCCCCCCGGAGCGTGAGATGCCGCTGCACATCATCCAACCCCCGCACTCTGTCCGTGAGAGTTTCAAGCGAGCATTCTGCTCCATCCTCTAACGACGATTACAACAACGTGTAAAACAACAAAATATCCACCCCGTGCAAGCAAATAACATTCTTTTTTATTATATTGCAACATTTCATTAGCTAGTTGTTATAACTGAACGAAACATATCAACTAGATATGTTCAGATATTTTTTAATTATTGAAAATATATGTTTCATCCTATCATTTCAAGAAAATATGTCATTTATGTGAATGTTGTGACAATTAATGTCGTGATCTTGGGGAACAAAACCTTACCTATTTAACACTGATATCGATGTTTACAAATACAGCGTTACGTGGGGTTTATCAAATATTTTATACATCTATAAATTTATATAACAGTATATAATTCTCAGTCTTATATATTTTTAATATATCGACTCTTTTAAACATATAGAGTTTAGAAGATTTTTTTCTTAAATAGTTCTAAGATTAAGCGACTTTGTAAGATTATGGACCGACACTATATGGTGGGGCTGGATGGTGGAGGGGGGTGGGATTTTATGGAAAATATTGTCTCACACAACGCTTGAAGTCAATAAATATTTTCTAGACTGTAGACTGTTGGAAAAACGAAATTTTCTGTCACTAGAACACAAAGTTGCATAAAGTTGCAATTTACATTAATAATCTCATAGTTTTGGTAAAAAATATAATTGTCAGGTTTTGCAGCTACAGGTAACACGTATATATTCCCGAACACAATCCCAGAGTCCCAGAATATCAGTGTTGGTCCATTATTTCGTGAGGACAGTTTGTATATACATGTATTTTTGTCGTGAATTTCTCAATGAAGAATAGAAATGTCACATTTTTTTCTAAATTCGATATTTACATCTTTACTATTTGTATATGTGAACAACGTAACGGTTACGTGAAATGTATGTGATTGATCATGATGAATAAACTTGCACTTTTAAACTTTTTAATAATGCGGACTTGTTATGCTGTATATATACGATCTTATATACGAGAAAATCATACTTTGGACGAAGACCACGCCGCTGTCAGCAACGTTGTCAGCAACATGACAGCGGGGTACAAAACGCGATAGGATTCACACAATGTACCCATGTAGGGAATCGAACCCGGGCCTTAGGTGTGACAAGCTTGTTGTTTGTGGCATTTATGTCATCGGTCATGGTGGAAAACTATATATCTCTTCCAACAGGTTTAGGAGACCCATAGCAAAGTGTAAGGCAGCTTTATGTTATTGGTTTAGGTCACGTCAGTGTTCAAGATCTGTAGCTATAGTATAATCTAAAGTCTTATCGATGAGGTAAGCGAATCCGATAAACTTGGTATTACGACAATCCGATACATATCTGAAACGAGAAGAGATTCAGCTTATTAACCCACACAACACACCCACCTGAGTAAACAAAGGACGAGTGTATTAGTCATTTTTATAATTTGTCTACAATGGAATATTGATTGCAATCAAGTGTTATAGAATGTTGTAATATTTTATAGAAGTACATATATACTATTACATGGAAAAGCAACGATATGTAGAGGATATTTCGCGTGTCTACAGAATTATGATGTATCTGTCAGAGAGTGACGTGAAAAACGTGACATTTTCACGAGTAAATAACCACGAATGAAATTATCTTTTTTTCACGTTATGATATTACATATGCATCATACTTCACTTGATATATGAAATATTCCATGTATTACATGCTTCCAATTTTTAAAATTAAATTGAATTAACATAAGTCCATGAAAAATGGATTAACGAAACCCTAACATGTAAACTAAAGACAGTTCACTTCTTTGTTCAGGCACACAGATGAGACGAAGTTCGGAATTTGAAAGTTAAATAAGAATCGAGATAACACATATTTGTATCAGCTGGTATATTTTTATTGCCATTATTTAAATAAGATGACACGATCGTGTTGGTCATAGTGTAAGTGTCAACACTAGGTGCTGGGGCACGAATACATAAGAACCACAAACAAACATGGCGAGCGGTGAGAAAGGAAGAACGCGATTGAAGAAGAATTATTTTCTGTGTCAACAAGCATAAAAACGGGCAATGGCCGTTGCCAATAAAGTTACTTGTACATAAAATGTCAGTTTTGAACACTGTCGTAACTTAAGTGTTCTGAACAGAGGTAAACTCGCACGAAACACGGACTCAATGCAGCACAACGAGGGACAATCATTCACAGTATCTGTCGCTGGGTGCCGGTGCACTGAATGACACGGCGATCAGCTGATTGGTGAGAGTTTTCCCCTACGGAGGTTGGCCGGCCATCCAATGCTCATGCGTACTGGCCAAATATATTTAGTGAGGTGCATATTTTTACATTGCCATTTATTGTGTTACTTGTGTTTTAGGAAAACTTTGTTGATATTTTCACTGCCCGCATGCCCTGTTTATCATTAGCTCGGATAACAAAGCCTTCACTGTAAAACTTTACCGTTAATTTTTTCGGTAAAAATTTGGCAGCCATGCTGCCGGTAAAAACTCAGTAGCTTTACGGGATACCGTAATAAATTTATGCCGTAAAATATACGGTAAAACTCTGGCAGCCATGCTGCCGGTACAAAACCGTAGCTTTACGGGATACCGTAATAATTCATACCGTAAAATATACGGTAATAGTTTGGCAGCCGTGCTGCCGGTACAAAACCAGTAGCTTTACGGTGTACCGAATGCATTCATACCGTAAAATATACGGTGAAATTGTGGCAGTCGGTAGAATTCCTGTGCATGTATAGCCAAATAAAGTAATAACCATTTACTGAGGTTACCTGCACATAACAGCTGAAAGGCAACAGCATTGGAATGTTAGCTACAACATGGGAACTATATCTATAATTGCCTTGCTTTTAATGCTGCGAACATATGCTATTCAAATAAAAAGAATACAACTGTGTTAGATGAATCTTTGAACCAGATGATTCAGATTTTATTGTTTTCAGTGTGAAGCTGGTCTTTTCTTACGTCATCAGAGTTAGTATAACGATGTTAACCTAAGTTGGCATAGTATATGCTGCATACAGCTATACCCCTCGTACTTTGTTTAAGCTGGGGAAAAGGCGACAAAATGATGTGCATTAACAGCAAACAAAAAAAGAAACATTTCCCTATGTCCTGATGACAATATAGGTCTCTAACAATATAACTAATCCACGTGGACTGATATAAACAGTGATCTGTCTGAAAACATTACATGAAACAGAAAACACTAAACGCAAACAGACTACCATTTCCATATGCTAGACTCACCCTGAACCCAAAGCAAAATGAGAAACTGGTCAATGTCTTGTGCTCAAATTACGGTAATACAATTTCCCTCTAATGGAGGGTATTCGTCAAAGGAGTATTAGAAAACCTTAAGGTTTGAAAATGTCCAACATAAAAGAACTCAATAACACGAACATATTCCGTGAAGGAGAAAACTTGAAATATATATGCCAATTAATCTTCTGAAACATTTTACAAAATTACACAAAATCACACGGCCCAGACTCTAGCATTACTTTAAAGGTGTAATAAAAGACGGGCCATCTTTCTTCAAATTGTTCCTTTCATTAAACGATCCTTCAAACTGCTCAGATATTTCTAATCTCAAATAAGATACCAATTCACAGTGAATTTTAACAGAATAGATGAACTTTAAAACAATAAAATCGCAACATTCAGAAGTGAAATTCTTCCGTGAAAATATAAATAATCGTACCGTACTCACTGTTAGTCCTCCCGTTTAATGCAATTAATTTTGAACATTTAAGCATTTCTAAAAGCTAAATGTCAACTAAAACTGAATCTATTCAATATGATCTGTTTCATAAATGCTACGTCATGAAATAAGGATTGTGTTTATACATATCCAACATTGCAAGACCGCTCATATCCTTGATATACACTGACATCATATGAACCACTTCCAAAGAAAATATATCAATTATCTGTCTTACCGTCAACAGACAACAGAATGCCAGGGACAGCTTACAATCATCTTCTTAACATCGACAAAGAGGACAGCTAAGTGTCAAGAAAAACTGAATCTATTCAAGGTGATATGTTATATAAATGCTATGTCATGAAATAAGCCTAAGTATTGTGTTAAAACATATCCAACATTGCAAGACCGCTCATATCTTTGATGTACACTGACATCATATGAACCACTTCTAAAGTAAATACATCTTACCGTCAACAGACAACCGAATACCAGGGACAGTTTACAATCATCATATAAACTAAATGGAACAGCACCAAGTGCAAACATGACACAGAAGTGTTCATTGTCCTGTTATAGACTCCAGTCCACCATGCTATCACACTATGAGTCTGATTCCATACATGACACAGAAGTGTTCATTGTCCTGTTATAGACTCCAGTCCACCATGCTATCACACTATGAGTCTGATTCCATACATGACACAGAAGTGTTCATTGTCCTGTTATAGACTCCAGTCCACCATGCTATCACACTATGAGTCTGATTCCATACATGACACAGAAGTGTTCATTGTCCTGTCATAGACTCCAGTCCACCATGCTATCACACTATGAGTCTGATTCCAGCCACTCAAAATCCGCAAGAGCGTTGATTAATCTGAGTACCTTGGGGTTAATCTTAATCTTCTTCTTTTTTCCTTTGTTCCCTTTAGATCCTCTATCAGGGTTGATGCCAATGAAACATCTGAATCATATTAAAAACATAATTAAACAATCACTTGAGGATGTGATTCAAGTAAGGTATTTATTTATGTTAAACACACCGTGCCTGTGTTGAGTGCATTGTATACTCATTCTTCACGGACTGCTTTATATGCTTTAAAATCTACCACATATGACTAAAATTGCATACGATTATTCCCTTTATTGGGCTCTAATTCATATAATTTCATGGATTTTAAAGAAGAAAAGATGTATCTTTCAATTCTGTCATAAGAAGCAAAACAAGCAATCTGCTTGTATTTTTTAATCCCACCTCTAACTATTCTACTGAATGTAAATACCTCTGAATAAACTCCATGGTTGCTGAAACCGCCGGGGGATACTCCAGATTGAACACGTAGAATGATGCAAAGAATGCAGAGAAGGCATCCATGAAGCTTGGGATTCTTCCCATGGATGAAATGACCATTCTGTCACACATTAACATGTCCGACTTGCCAGCAAGGACTGAATCACCTGGAACAAAAAGTATAAGAGAAAAAACTACTTCTTCTGGGGGTACATATGGGAAGTTGTTTGTAGAAAGTTCACCTACAGTTTGCAGATCTTAATGGACCTTTAATTGCACATAGAAAATACATCTGATGTGCTCATGTCTTTTCTGATGTCATCAATGATATCATCTGAAATCCCATTTGACTGAAGTCTCTCTATGATTTGACTCTCAACATAATTATTGCTAAGTTCATGAAGTAATTGATATTCTGTTAGAATACCTTGAATCAAAGATACAGGAAGCAAGTGTTTTGCTTCTAACTTTAAATAGAACTGGGCAATATTTTTAAAGTATTGATTTTGTGTGGTCTCATCTAAATCAGCATCCCCCGTTTCACTTTCTTCAAGATCAGCTTCAACCAATCTGTTGTCTGTTTGTAAAGATATGCAGCGCTGTCCTTCATCTGTATTTGTATGTGTGTTATTTGCTTCAAGAACTGAATCTGATAACTCCGATAATGTGTGGTGCTTGTGCTTTCTACTTATATGAGATGAGAACGTTGATTTATGTACAATGTTGGTATTGCATGATCTAAATGAACAAACAATGGGATCCCTTCTGTCTAAATGCTGACGCAAATGTTTCAAGAGCTCCTCGATACGAGAGAATGTACAAAAGCTTTGCCTACATACAAGATGTACATTTACATGTGACTGGCCATTTACTGACCTTGACTGACTCGTGTTTGTGTTGCGCCCATGATCACGCAGTACCTGTGCTCGAAACGCACTGTACGTGTGAAATTGTCTTACACAAAGCTCCTGACAACATGGAAACACAATGTTTGGTACGTTTCTGTGCAAACGATAACTTTCTGACATACTGACGTAAGATAGAGGTCTCAAAAGTACATTCTTTGCAACGATACGTCATTACATTTGTCAAACACAAAAATACAGTTGGAAACAATAGAAAAGCTAAATTGTGAACATGTAAGTCCTTAATCTGCATACTCTAGACATCGTATAGTACAAATTACCAATAGATGAGTCTTGTGGCAACTGATTCTGGAACGATTCGTCTTCGTGTAATCAAACCCAACGTAAAATGGCGGCGGCGTGGATGACAGTATCCCACAATGCTTTGGGGTTAAACGGTATTATACCGTCAGAATCATTCACTACAGTAAAATGTCGTATATCCCACAATGGTTTGGGGTTAAACGGGGTTGTCCCGTAAATTATTGACGTTAACGGCATTGCACCGTGCCACTGTCATAACGTAATTCTACCGTCGCATTTTCACGTGATGTTACTGTATATTTTACGGCAAAGTTTTACAGTGACTGATACATAACATTCGAATATATTAAGAGTGACATTACACGATTTCCAAAAATGTTTGCCTTTCCTAGACACTGAGCTAGGTATTTAGGAGACGTGAACACCAATGGAAAAAAACACACCAAAGTATCACGTCTTTTCTTATGTGAAACCAAAGGAATGGAACATATGCATTCATTTTTCTCACACTGGCAGATCGCTCAAAATAAGTACTGAAATATTAAGCCATTACATCGTCTATGTTTTCTGAGCTAAACGGGCCTCCCTCAGATCATGACGTTGGTTTGTTGTTTTACGCCGTACTCATCAATATTCCAGCTACATGGCGGTGGTCAGGAAATAATCGAGTCTGGGCCAGACAACACAGTGATCAACATCATGAGCATCGATCTACGCAATTGGGATACGATGACATGTGTGAACCAAGTCAGCGAGCCTGACCACCCGATCCTGTTAGTCGCCACTTACGACAAGCATGGGTTACTGAAGACCAATTCTAACCCGGATCTTCACAGGTTCATAAAGTAGAAGGAATAGTACCTACGTTTTTGAGCTGTCGTAGGTTTTGCTAACTGATATAGACAGAAAACTATATACATTACGATGTATGTAGTTTACAGAAAGTTTGCCCTCCTACAGAGAGTGGATGATATCAGAGACGAGGGAATATTATTTTATCGACATCATAAAGTGAACGTTGTAGAGGAGAGACAGATATTTTACGATTTATGCAGAAAAATAGCAAACTACTAATACTGATACATTCACCGATAGGTAGGTAGATCTTGTGTATGTACGTTTGTTCTAAATGCCCTTAAAAGATTCGTTTTGAATTTGTTGAAATAAGATACTGTTGTAATGACAATGGATTCAAGCCAAATGTTATATAATTAGTTTACATTGTGTGCTGAATAACTGAACGGTGGAATACCTTTTTCATAATGGATATACGTTTGAAATCGTGACGTCAACAGTACAGTACGGTACCAAACTAGGCCATTTATTTTTCTTTGGATTTTAAATGACCGTAATCTAGGGGCGGTTCTAGGATTTTGAAAATGGTGGTGGTGTGGTGCTGGGGGGGTTTGCGTGCGTGCGTGGGTCGCGCGCACACTAAACTCATGAAGTCCAAAGGTTAGGGGGAAATGGTCTTCAGGGAATATATATTAAGTTACAATGAGGGATATAATATCCCATAACCCAATAGCTCTCAAAGAATACTTGAATGCGGTTTTATTTTCTTTTAATTATGATTGATTTAAAACTTTTAAAAATATAATAAATTAACATACTATACAACTGCTTATTGGTATCTGGGACTTCTTATCTTTGAAACTGACATATTACTGGCAGAAGGTGTGGTAAGTTGGACAATTCTGTGAATAAAATACTTTTAAAACAAACCAAATTTATATGTCAAAAATGTTTGGTCAGATATGGATGTAAATTAATTACTGCATTGCATCAACAGGTGGAGAAATAAGTGATGGTTAAGTAGACATATCAAACTTAACAACAGTTCTTTTAGTTTCATAAAAATAACCTCGGTTTACTTTCTTTCGGGGAACATTATTTTAGATATTTGGTGTTTGGGTATGTGGTACGTTTTGGTGCGTGGTACCTTATTACGATTGTCAAAAATAGCGACACATAGACCGCCGCTGGCTTAGTCTGTTAAAATTACTTATATAAATCAATGTCAAATCATGTCAGAAGCGTTGTATATTTCACGCAGGTGTTCACCAGTAATAGTCAAGTGTTGTCATGGTTACGAGTTTGACCAATCGGGACGCTCTTCCGTTGCACGAGTTTTTCATGAGCGTTATTCAAATTCAGTGGATGGAAGCAGACGTGTTTCAACCCGACAGCCTGTCCTGTCATTTATCGTTACTATGGACATGACGTTGAAAAATCCCCAACAAGGTGAGTGCGACAATATATATCTATACACATAATTAAACATGGTGTTTGTAAACATGTATATTCACAAACTCTCCACATGTAACATTTAGAATGAAAGTGAGTGAATGAATTTAGGCTCCCCGGATGCCAGAGGGATATGCATTCCACCTTCACTTTGAAGTCGAAAGAACTTTAACATATATATTACGCACACAAACGTACTTCTCAGTTTTGAATTCTGCGAGAAATTTCCCGTTTCTTGATATCATCCACAATCATCTTGTGCAAGCAAGGGTGCTGAAAATTGAGTATAATTACAGTGAATGTCGCCATTGTTTACACATTACGAAATTCATTCACCGCGCTATTTGTTGTATGTTTTGACATGTAACTCAGCGAATTACATGGAGGATTGAATATAAGTGATCACTGATATCTGTTTTTTATCAAATCAACGATGATAATCTTGAAACATCGCCGATAAACCTAGGAACGGTTTAGGTGTTTCGGAAAGCACGCGAAAGCCGAAGTGAGCTTTCCGCCATATTGGATACTGTAGTGTTTACAAAATGTCCCAGTTACCTGCGACACACATCACTGAATTCCTCACACATTAAGTATATAAGTATACATAAATAAAATAACAGATGGTCTTTGTCACCAATGCTAAGTGTCTAAGTGCAATATACCCTAGTTCATATGAATAAACTCGTAATTCCAGTTAAGGCCTACATCGAAGTGTAAAGTTATATGCTGGACTAAATATACCCGTGCCAGATATATTCGGACACTTGACGTAATTTCCATAGACTTACATGTTATTTCAGTGTAGCATAAATGATTTTCATGAAGTGAGTTTAGGATGGACCTTTGCAAAATTTGACAAGCAAATGCGAAATCATCTCTGCTCTGCGCACATAATTTCAGTTCAGTTTTGTTACCACCATTTAACTAATGACATCACATTTATCAACTTAGGTATGGTTCCACGATGCACAATCCCATAGGCCGCCATGTTAAAGGAGTTCTCGGCACTGTCTACATAATATTATGTCGATTAGCTTGTTGCCATTCGATAAATAAGCAACGGAAAATTAAACAGAAATTATGTTATTGTAGGCAAGATGATTCCTCACAAATGTACAAAATTTGACTTCGATCTTACGAAAATTAAATTCATGAAAATTATTTTTGCCACACCAAATTAACATGTAAGTCTATGGAAATTACAAGTGTCCGAATATAACTGGCACAGGTCTGTACTGCTAGATCTTGCATCTAAAACGCACGCTGAAGACTTGTTCGAAAAGACTGAAAGAAAAATACAGATATTAGCCTATACGGTAGCATTTTCCCAAATGTTGAGAGGTTCATTTGTCTATTCTTTGTATACACTGGCTCTATATTTTTTAGAATTTGCATGGGAAGAGTTTTGTCATGGGAAAGTCCGTCGCAAATTCCGGCCAAAGGACATTTTGTAAAAATCGGTCAGCCGGTAGTAATGTCATACGTCAACATTGTTGTACATATTTGGTAATTTCTGTGAGGTGAAGGTCGGTTCAATAAGAGTAAACACAACCATTCTATTCTGCTGCTTACAATTTCAGTATCATGATCAGGGATTGGGAAAGGCAAGGGCCATGGGCCATTTTGCACATTATAATAAAAAATGGCCCATTGAAATTTTGAAGTTTACTATTGATACAAGGGCACAGGCCCATTCTAAATTCAGAAAATGGCTCATATTTCTGAAAATGGCCCACTGTCAAAGTTCTCTATCCCAGTCCCTGCATGATCCATATGTTTTCGCGAAACTAATTTCATTAGCTTTGTTCAGTATCATGTCTTTATATAATCAACAAGGTTTTACCCTTTGAAGGTTTTTGTTTTCTCCAAAGTGGCAAAACACATAAAACAAGCCATGAAAAATTGTGTAACTTTTCCAGTAACTTTATAAAATTTGCAGATACGGCTAGTATTCTGAAAATAATGGTGCAAAATTAGTCAAAACACGTCTAGACAAACAGGAAAATATTAGAATCAAAGAACTAGTTTGCATATCAGGACAATTCATTTCTGAAGTACACCCTGTCTCATGTTGTATGGTTTCATGATATCCTGTCCAGTCACAATGTGGATCTTTGCATTGGAATAGTTTGGATCCTCGTGTACAAAACCTCATGAAAATACAGTATCCTTATCCGCAGCAAGTGACCTGAGTTACAGTGGCTTCGTGTTAAGCATAGTAGAGTCTAGTCCCTTGTCTTTATGCGCTTGAACTCTCAGTCGCTGTTTGATCTCATAGAAGAAAATATATTTTCATCATTTATCTCAAGCCATTTATATATTGATTGTGTAACGTTATACATGAGCAGATTTGTTTGTTTGTTGTTTTAAGGGCGAACAGGTATGTAAAGTTTGCTCTTCCAGTATTTCTTTTTAAACTTCACTATGAGAGTATGAATGGTGAATACAAAAAAATATGTAATTAACCCAACCTCAACTCCATTCAACTTCTGTGCTCAGATGCCGCAATCTGATCCATAACCTTAACAACAAACGCAGAATTAACGTTTTATGCAATTTTATTAAAATCACAAATAAAACTGTGTCCAAGCACAGGACAGACCATTCACTATAGGTAACAGGTTTTGGGGTGGTTGACATCGCTACATGTTCAAAGAATAATATTGTGACCCAAACATAAAAATGCTTTCTTTCATATATAATGAAAGATGATTGCAACAACTCATAGATAATGTAGGTTGAGTGTAAAAACAAAATATACTATAACATATCCCTTGATACAGCACCATCCAAAAAACAATACTGATGTGTTAACCAGTGCCTGATAATGTACAACGCCAACAGTATTAACATAAAACAAACAATAGCTCAAAACGCACAAACTTCTAAATAAAATCAGAACATGGGGAACATTGAACATGATATTTTGCCCCCGGAAATTCCAAGCCAGTATTACAATAACAATGCCGTTGTAAATAAAAATAAAAAGTGCACTATACAGAAAAATATAAGCAAAATTTCTATTGACAGATTTTGTATTATAGCCTAAAATATCTTCTTTTTTAAAACTGACTCACATGGTGGTAAGATTTTTGGAAATAATGAAATGTCACATACAGTTCAAGAAATTCAGGTGTCAGGACTGAAGTCGATATACATGGAAAGTATCTAGTTCCTCCAAAATAAGGAGTTTCCTTTCTACACTTGGTAAAAGGACCTGAACCTGACTTGACAAAATGTATGACCTGTTCCTTTTAATGGCCATCAACAAGATATATCATTATTATGGCAAATGTCAGCAATCTACACTCTTAGCTCTCAATCCATTAAAATTAAAAATCAGCAAAATCCCACTTATGACTGTCTTCTTTCTTTTTTTCTTTGCAGCCTTTTGATCCCTTGGGTTGATTCATGGGATGAAGCATCTGGTAATTAAATTTGTTCCTGCATTATCTAACAGTCGGTAACGCATTTCCAAACGGATGTCAGTCATGTAAATATGACTAAGTGAACTAAGAGAAAATTTATAATGCAGTCATCTGGGTTTGGACCAGTGAGAGACAGGACAAGGAAAATAACAACCAGTGAATGTAGGCTTCCAACCCATGATAGTAGAACATGGCTTCTAAGGGATATAACTTGGTACATTAGTTTTAAGGTAAATATACAGGGTGCCTATTCTCGAAAGTGTCCCAGCTAAGACAGATCCTAACTAGTTAGGACAGGAGTTAGGACATCCTAACGTTGGTTTGGACGTTTTTCTTTCCGGAATACCAGTATTTCCCTAGTTCTATTTGTCTTTTACTGGGTGTGAAATTTAATAATTTGTTGAGATACACATATCATTACCTTTGTATGAACTCGAGAGTAGCAGCAGTCCCAGTCTGATATTCTGTGTCAATTAAAGATATAATTCTAATGCCTCAGTTCCGGCTGAGAAGCACAACTTACATGTAGTAAAATGAGTTACTTTTCTAAGGGTTTCGTTCCATTTGAGGACCACAACGTCTACGTGTTATGATTGTTTGTTGTGTAACGCCACACACAACACTATTCCAGTATATGGCGACAGTCTGTAAATTGGACCAAGCAACCCACTGATCAACAACATGCGCATCGATCTACGCAAATGGGATTCGATGACATGTCGACAGTTAGTTTTCTTATCTTTCAGTTCCAGATGGGAGCTACAACTTTTAAATGTAATATAATTTGTTAGTTTTTTTATATTTCAGTTCTTGTAGTAAGTCACCAATTTTAAGCATAATCGTAAGTCTTGGTATGTATCTACTTGTAGCATACTGATTTTGCGGGGCAGAACATTTACATGTACTAGTAATGATTTAGTTTTCTCCTGTTTCAGGTTCAGTTCCTGTGGAGAGGCACAACTTTTACATGGAATATGATTTGTTAGTTTTGTGATGTTTCAGTTCTGGATGAAAGACACCAACTGTAAATGCAGTATAATGAATAAGTCTTTTTATGTTTTAGTTCTGGTTAAAAGGCAGAACATGTACATGTAACATAACTTGTTAGTTTTGTAGAGTTTCAGTTCTGGTTCAGAGTCACAATGTCAGCATGTAGTAGAATGATTTAATTAGCTTATGTTTCAGTTCCGGTTGAGGGGCGACTTATACTTGCTGAATAATGTGTTGGTCTTCTCATGTTTTAGTTCCTGTGGAGAGACACAGCTTGAACATGTTGTATATTTTGTCCTGTTTAATTCAGCTCAAGTTAAAACGCTTCACTTAGGAAATACAGATGTATTATCCAGACAGAATTGTTTTCAGCGTTAAGGTCTAAACACTCTGCTGGCATAACTCGATATAGTTTCTATGGTCAGGGTGACTTTGTTGTAATGTGGCCTTCTTTCATAGTAGGTTATACCTAGACGACCAAGGTGCCTGGACATGGGTTACACATCACACTTGTCCGTGGTCACGTGGGCTCCATTCCCAGAAAGCCATGCTATGCTGGACTTTTCCTGTGAAGAA